GCACCCACAGAGGACCGGGCAGACGTGGTTCAGGGGCCAGGATAATGATAAAATTCTAGACGAGCGTGAGATTTTAAGTGGAGCATTCTGGAGTATTTTGTGCGGAAGACAATGCCTAAACTCGTCCCTGATTTATCGTTAATACGCTGAATGCTACCTGACAAATTATGTCCCGATGAGTAAAAACATAAGAACGAAATATACATAAGAGGTATACTGTGTTGTTAGTGGGTGGCGCAATCGCTAAATAAACACAGCTTACGCTTGGCGTGCTGTTGGGCTCTGTGAACATGAAATCTCAAACGCTGATTTCTTTTTGAAACGTGCTTTTGAAAAATAGCTGGAGGCCCGACAGCACCCGTAACCGAAGAGGAACACCACTGGTTTTAACAGGCGCTTTTTTTTTTAAATTTCAAAAATTGGTGACTGCTGTCCTACGCAGGAATAAACTGGAATATGATTAGCCATAAACTTAACTGACACCCACTGGCTGCAATGCATTAAATTACTCGTTAGGCGGCAGAGCGACTAGTGGAGTACAGGGATACACATATGGGGTTACCTATTCAGTTGTAAAAGCTCATGAATATAAAATGTCAGATAGAGCTAGGAGATGATCAGGCAGGGAACGAAAAACATATTAAGCATGTTGAATGACGATAAAGTTATACTCTGCAGTAACAAATGTTCTTTTTGGAGTTTTCAATTTTGAGTTGGATCTCGTAGCGTTCTGTTCAGATGAAAGCTAAAAAGGTATAATGTTATTTGTTGTTCTATTTGTATCCTAGGGCACCAAATGGGACTCTACAACACCTCCTTGGTTGCTTGATATGCGCTTCGCACTGATTTATGCTAAGGTGCCAAAACTGTAAGATCATGGAAGTGGTAGGGATATTTCGGATGAGGCCGGTAAGCTAGACTCCTGGTACTAGATGCGGTTAATAAGGAAGAGAAGCAATATCACTGCTGTGTGATGTGTCGCTTTACATGCTGTGACCATTAAGAGAGGGTTTTCATGCCNGCTCCGCGGACGTAACGGCTCCACGGATTGGTCCATTTCGTTCCGGGTACGGTTGACATCATGCGTACCCGGAAGAATCAAATGGACAATGATGTATCTCCAACAAGGCGTTTTGGGGAGGTATTTTCTGTGTTAGAGTTTTACTCGCTACAGGGTGTACTTTGAGGGTTTGTGACTCTGCAGACCGTTTACATGCATAACAACCTTCATAACACACAAGGGGACGGGTAATAACCAGAAAAGCATGACATGGGACCTTTAAAGCTTATGTGTTGAATACTTTAGTGAGTATGTGTGGATGTCATAAAACAGAAACACTAAATCTGGGAATTTAACTCACAGTATTGGGAAATGTGGAGTAGACTAGTTTAGCAATGTGTAAACTCCCTTTGACTGTTGTGCTACATGATACTAAAAATCCATATTCTAATAATTGCAGCTTCGCCTGGAAGTTATTATTTTTTATAATGTTAAGAAATATCTCCCTCGTCTTATCAAGAGCATACAAGATCAGTGTGTAATCAGAAACGAATAGAAGCTGTAACAACTGTGGGAATTGAGGATGAATTATAGGCAGGCCTCTGATATCTAGTTAGAGAAAGGTTTTTATGCCTCGTGCAACACTGAAGCTGTTCTGCTCAGACCTCAGTGTGCTTGTTAGCTTGTTTAGATGACTGGTCCAGTGAAATGACCCAAATTAGGCTGTTAGAATAATAGCTTTTATGTGCCAAAGTGCCCCCAATGGGGTTGCATGAGTGAATGCATGCACAGCTTTCAATCTGAGCAGTAGAAAGTTTTCCAATATTTCATCTGGTTTGTTGGATATGCCAATGGCTCAATGAGGGCTTTTTCTTTCCATTTCTCTCTAACAATTAAATGTGTGCATACAAATATTGCATCAAATTATAAACAGTTTTGATTTAGCTAAACCACGATGTCGTGTATCTGATATTTATTTTAGAAATAACAAAGGATTAACAGTTGCTGTGACGCGAGAACAGTCAATGTCTCTAAGTCTGTTTATTGCAAATATCAACTAAATATTGAGTAATTATTTATGCAGACCAAATACTATGCCTAATGTGTCCCTTGGAAACATGACAGAAGAGTCAAATGATGAAACATGTTAATCTCTATTGTTTTTTCCATCTTCTCATAATTACAGTTTTGAAAGTTAAATCCCAGTTGATGTTTTATCTATTCTGACTCAAAATACTTTTCCCCTAAATTAATTGCTCTAATCAAAGCACAGTTATGGGAATACTCTTAAGCCCTGCCTTTGGAGAGACACTGTAAAGGCAGCAACAATAAATGATGAAGTCCGTACATGGCAAGACCGAGGAACCATCAACCTCAAGCACATAACTATTCCCATTAAATACCCAGCTCACCATAACGTGTCTACCGTAGCTGTAATTGCATATGTTCTATGAATTGTTTTAATATAGAGTGTAATGAATATGCCAATTACATTTTCACTATGAAATTATGACTCTGTAATTTGAAGTAACCGGGAGAGTGTACTATATGGTTTACATGGGTTGGCACAGTAATAAGCCTCAAATGCTGACAGTGCATCAGCAGCACAGCAGCACGGCCCTCAGAGAGCCATCAAGCAGAAAATGATAATTAATTAATCATGGAGTGTGAGGCAAACTCCGCTCTATTAGCCCTTTGGTAATTCCTTCCCCTCGGCCTCCGCACTAACCATAGAGATCATGCCTCCAATAAGGCTTGTTTACTCAGCAGCACTTTGGTCACTGTACTGACAGCTGGTTGGAAATTGTCAATGACCTCTAAGATTAACATTATTTACCCACAAAACTAAAGTAATCTGAAGTTATGCCTGATCCTTGTGTACATACAGTAGCGTCTGCTTTTGTCTTGCAACACAACACCGATAAATTGCTTCCTTTCTCCTCTTTCAAAAAACAATAATATATTCGCGTAAGGGGTCATTCACACCCTTCAAAGTCCTTTGTGGTTTTTGTAATAATGTATCTTGTGTTTTCCATATGGTGCTTGGTTATGTAAAGTGTTAAAATATACAACCTTATGACTTGGTTCAAATGTGGTTCACATATCGCAAGCAGCTGTCATGCTTTTGGTCGAAGTCCAAATCCTTTCCCTCTCCTCAAAGCTAGATTCTGCTGAATCATGTCTCCTCCTTCTCTCAAAACTCTCCTAATTTTATAAGTGTGAAATTGAGATTCAGCAGATTTTGAATCATAGGCCCACCGGTTGATATCTCCCCGTAGAGTTTAAGCAAAGTATAAGGGATTTTTTCAATTATTAACACAGGCTGTATCACTGCACTCTTTTCTAATAATTAAAACAAGTGTCTGCTTTTTAAACTGAATGAAACTGTTCTTTGTATTATTTATATTTACTCCTTTAGGATTATATGATCACAGAAACCAAATAAATTAAAGCACTGTATAAAACCAAAGCTTAGATTATGTTTGAGTAGTAATGGTAAGATATTTCTTGATTATATCAAACATCTTTTAATCATCACTCCAACACACAACATGTGTCTTGACTGGAATGTATTCAAATTAAACACTATACTTAACATCTTAATATTAAGTGCAAATGTAAAACCCAGCTATTTAAAAGTCAAACTTGCCATTTAAAAAAATAAAAAGGGCCTGAATTTGATTCTCATCAGAAAAGGTTGTTATACTGAGATTAAAACGATCCTCAAGGCACGAGATCATCGTCATATATACAGTCAAAGGTCCATAAATTGATTTCTAACTATGTAAAATTGACTGTCGGGCACTAGAAGCGTGGCAAAGCACATCGGCTATTACTCATAGTGGATTTTGTATGCGCAAGCGTGCCCGTGCAATTACAAAGCAAGCCCATAAATTAGTTGCTGAATCTGCCTTAAATCATGAGGGAATGCATCAAATACTATCTTACCCAATCCAGACGGGCGTCTACACTGTAATAGGATCTGGAATACTGTAGTTACGAGTGTGACAACAAATAACCGCCAGCCCCCCAAGGAGAAACGAAGGTGATTATTTGTTGATGGGAGGGAACTGAACTTCAGTGTTTCAGTAATTGATCTGGGTTTTTGTAGCAGCATGGAGATATCAGAATTCAAAGCTGTGTTTTGACAACATAAACCCATAATATTTCGACAGATTTAAGTCCTTAGTTTCCAGAACCTGCTTAGACTGTGTAACAATTTGAAGAGAGGGAGACAGTGTAAGGTCTAGAGGGCAGATTATGTGGTTCCTCTTAGGTCATGCTAAAGCACAGGATGTGGCAAAGTCAAAACAAGACAGCCCTATTAAAGTATTAACAGTCTAGTAACATTTCACTAGGGACACTACAGCCTGTAGTCTCCACTTAAAGATGTTCTGATCACTCGCATGCAGATGCTTTATCTCATAGCTTATTAAATAAATGTATGCCCCTATTAAATTGGGAGGGTTTCGAGCTGCCATGCTGTAACATTAATGTTCTTGCTTGCCTACAGTTATTGCTACCGATGTAAAGTATTAAAGGTACCTCGAGACCAGCAACTTCCCTTGCATTTAAATGTAGAACATGACGTTCATGGAATTGATGCCTGATGCTGAACTCTTTCAGCATCTGAAAGACATTATCTCAATTACAGCAAAGAGCATGTGCTTTTGTTCTGGCAAGATGTCCCATGAGGACTGTGAATATTTTTCATTTAGTTACAAACCATCTCACCCATGCAGGTCTGTATGGGTATTTTATAGGCCTGCGGTCTGGCAAGGACAGAGGAATTATCCTGATCCACATTCATTAACCTCATTCTCAT